CTGAGTGATGCTCGTCCAGGTGCTTTCGGCGTGGTGAATGGAGATCCACCGCCCATGCTCATTCTCGTTGGACTAGCAGACTTAGGACTACTTTCTCCAGACGTTGCACCCGCAGTCTTCGCTTTCTGCAATTGTTGGGCCGTCATACCAGCATACTTGCTCGCTCTCGAGCCAGCAGTGAAACTCGGCGGCTCAGGATGAGCAGGAACGACGGACTTTCGTGGTTTAGCAGTAGGTGTCACCCCAGTCATCGAACTGGTAGTAGAGGAGGCCATGGAGTATCTTGAGCGTACATTAGGGGTTTGGTACGTCGACGGTGTGACACGGCCGGAAACAGACCGGGCAGGTGTGACTCTCCCGCTTCCAGCGCTATACGCTGGAGTGACGCGTCCACTTGCACTGAAAGCTGGAGTAACGCGTCCACCTGTTGACATGGCGGGGGTAACGCGTCCGGAATAAGAGGGGATGGAGGGTGTCGCGCGGCCGCCACGGGAGGAAGCTACGGAGGAGGGGCGGGGGATCGGTGCGCTGAGTTTGGCATAGGCAACGAAGACACCGCCCTTCGGAGCACAGGAGAAGTATGATACACTGGTAGATTATTTGGTATTAATTAGATGATAGGTGAAATGAATATCGAGTGACGTTTTCGTTAATGAAAGGATAAGAAAGGGAATAGAACCGACTCACCCATTAACAGTACCATCGTTCTTTCCTCGTCCGATAAATCCAGGGTTAAGCTCCACACCAGCCCAGAGACCCGGTTTTCCATCAATAGAGCCTAAATACCTCAAAGTACCCTCCATACCCAGACTTTCAATTCGCACAGGGTCGCCTGGTTCGAAACTGCGGTCCTTCTCTTTTCCTCTTGTAATAGATTGACGGCTTTCGGGACGCGAAGAAGCATTAGTTGATGTCGATGGAACCCTTGGCGTGAACCCAGCAGTACTCATCCTCCCCGCAGAAGAAAGAGGCGTTTTAGGAGGAGGCATCCTTGCAGACGAGGGTCCTGAACTCGTCCCACTCATACCCATCGTCGTGGTGATATTGGAAGGCCTGGAGACTGACTTTCTTCCTGATTGGCCTAGCGGCAACCCATTACCGCCATTCTGAGAAGTTGGACTCGAATGCGGCGAGCTGCCCTGGTCGCTGACTCTTCCTCCACTAGGCATGCGATGTAGCCTGGGATCATTGGCCTTAATCGCCTCAGTGAACGCCTTCGCCATGCCCGGACTATCTTCTAATCCGCTATATCCATATCCTCCGTTACTGGCCGTTGCTGTTGCGCTCGAACTGGCGCGTGACCGTCCGGGCGTGGGGATGCCTGAGCCTACCATCCGACTAGGAGTGGGTATACGGCCTCGCTGGGCTACTGTAGAGGATGAAGGAGTATAAGACATTCGTCGCAACTCCCAGAGAAATCTCCAAAGCGGTAGGTCTCGATCGAATTCGCGAAACCGGTGTCCTGTTAAGTGTGGAGGAAATTGAACAAGATGTTATAGTTTGAGAGCGCGTTTCGAGAATGTGAAGTCCGTCGTCGTTGAGAAACGTCCAAAGCAAATTGAATTCGAAAAGAATTAGAATGAATTTCGAGCCTTGGAGGATCACAACAACGACGCGCCTTGAACTTCTGCAATAATTAGGCGCTCTAGAGATTGCCTATTTCGGATTTGACTAATCTCGCTTCCAGTTGGTTCCGAGACGTCGGTTGCTTCAATAGGCGTATTTGCAAGTTTTATCGTGCTCATAAACAAAGGTCGAACTTAAGAACATAGAGTAAGGTATAGAGAGGAGGATGCAGATGATGAATTTTAGCCTCATGGTACAGTACAGTCATTACGCATAGTACAGGTTCATTATTATTAGGAAACGGAAGAGAGTCCGCATGCGCACGTTTACAACGCATTTAACGCGACATGATTTCGTCAAGGACGCCATAAATAGCTCATCTCCTCTTAGGATATTCTTCTTGACGATACTTCTCGGCAACGTATCTGAAGACCAAGTATTAGTGGAGGAGGGCCGGACACTTGACTTGGAACCTACCCTTCACCAGTAAAAAGAGATAGCAGGCCCACCGTTATCGCAGAGACAGTTCTTCGGTCCCATGGACGATTCCAGTTGTCATAAGCAATGTAGGAAACAGCACCAATGATGCCCACATTCACTAGGGGAGGGACGTTAGACGGATTGGTTCAGGAACTTGGTCGGGGACAATAAACTTACAGACTCCCAACAAACCACCGAAGACCTTTGGCCTAAGGACAACCTCTTTCGTGTGCTTGTAAAGGACTGCACCCTCTTTGCGAGCTTTGCGCTCCTCTTCTCTCCCAGCATCAGTGTTGCGATAGGCTTCAGCAAGGAATCCTTCAGCTCCGAGGAACGCGAGAGCACCCAAAGTGGACCAGCCAAGGAATCTCCTGTCGGAGCGTAGATGCGGTTCGGTGTATAAATTGTAGCCAAATGTTCCAAGCAAACCAACATTTACTACAAGGATATTAGCGTGAATATAACGGGTTCACGGTTAGACATACCAACTCCGAGGAGACCACCAGCAACGCCAGGTCGGAGCAAACGTTCCTTGATGTACTCCCAGAACGCTGCGCCTTCCTCTTCAGCACGGTATATATCTTTCTTTGCCTTGCTCTTAAACCTTTCCCGCTCACGGACTTCATCGGATGGGGGGCGGTTTACGGAAGTGGTGGTCTGCATATGCCGCTAGAATATAAGTTTACAGACCTGGTAAACGTAAAGCATAGAAGCTTACTGCAGGGTGTTCCTTAAAAGTAGATTCGACCACGTTTACTTTGGGACCAGTGTCATTCAATACTGAGGGAGCATGTTCGGGTTCAGTGTTCAACAAACCTTGGTCAGGGTGAGGTTGAGCAGATAGCGGAGGTGCGTTGGTAGCGGCGACACTGGCGTAGGACATAGTTGACTGGAGAAGGTGATGGTAATAGCTTCCACAGGTATTCTGCGCTTTTCGTTCTTATACCCCTTCCAAATACCCGTACTGACGTCATGCGTCATAGGTCGACGTCATGTCTAGGCCAAGGGCATGCGTCACGTCGTGACATTCCCTAATAAAGTGGAGACGCGGCGACGTTCTTTCCGGAAAGTACGTGCAGAAAAACAAACTATTCTACGTACGTATCCCGCTGGCGGAAAATAATGGCGGCGAAGGTGCGTAAAATCCCATAACATTTACTAATGGCTGCAGAATATTATATTATTCTAATATCCTTCAGATGTGTTTCTATCAACAGTCAAGTCGAGACAGATCACAGCAAACAGCAATATGGGCGTACAAAAAGAAATTGTGGTGAGCGATGGTGGGTATACGCTGTTGCCGACTGCCACACAACATGGCGTCAATTCTTTCTTCGTGGCAGGCAGTCTTTAAATTCATCTGGCCAGAAGACATAGCTACATATAGCGGCAATAGATAAGACTTTTCGTAGCCTACAGGATTTAGAATCGGTAGTCTGCTGTTTTTCAATATAAAGAGCTGGACAGAATTGGCATACCCTTCCTTCAATTCGATTCATCGCCTACTACTTCGATATTTAGGACACGAGAGGAGAATACATCCTTTATAGAACGAGAGCCCTGGAAGTTAACAATAACTTTTTCCAACGCGGAGAATATTGATTCATCTGTCAGGAACTTAGACGCAGGGAAATCTGGGAACTACGAAACTTTCGCGAAGTTCCGATAAATCCAACACCCTCAAACTGCTGGAATGTCCGATATTACTATCCATTCCGAATCCCGAGACTCCTCTCAATTTAAGTCTTTTGGCCATGGGAAATGCGTCCATAAGACCTCCCAAAAGCTGCATAGTATTGCGTGCTCCAAAATAAAGGCAAATGGAAACCGAAGCATCCGCAGAAAATCCTTGTAGCATCTTCGCGCTGTATATTGACCGAGAACCTAGAATAATATCTGTTAAAGATCCACATATTCTGGACAGATCGGGATACCGAGTAATAAAACCCTTGAAGGATCGTGGGCAATCATCTACTTCCAGGTGAACTCGTTTTAGAGCAGGAAGATGCATAATACGTAGGAGCCACCTCACGGAGTGATACTCGCCGGGATGTAAAATAGATAGCGTATGCAGTTTCGGAAGGGAAATTGAACCACGCTTCACGCGGTCTACGCCCCTTTCCGTCCTACAGATGTTTAACAGGCGGTGCATGGAAAGCTCCTTAAGGTGTTTGAGGCGGTGAAGCAAAGTAATCCAGCGGAAGCTATTGTAATCGATATCATCCCTTAGGAGTCCGAGGTGAAAAGATGAAAGCTTGGAATTGAAAAGCGAGGAGTGGGCGGGAGGCGTGTAGCCTGCGCAGACAACGGTGCGAAGCATGGGAGAGAAGCCTGTGAATAATTTGGTGCTATGCAGATGGTTTACAGGAGTGGGCTGCTCTTGTATAGCCGTTGCTGTGTATTCGCGACATTCCATACTAAACGCGACTAGGCGAGGCATAGGAATTCCATTGAGGCCTCGAAATATCGCAGCGAGTCTATGCATTTGGCAATATAAACTCAAAGTTGCAATCCTGCGACGGTTACAATAGATGAAGTTTGATATGCGTTCAAAGCCTTCGGAAGGCATAATTCCTTCGTTACTTATATGACCCAGTCCATTAACACAAAGTTAATGGTCAGATTAGCGCTTCTTCTTCTGTGACACACTGCACTGCATTCCCACGTATTGCCGTCCCTTACTTGGATGCCTATGGTCAGAAAAGGAAAGAAAAATTATTCTTGCTTTCTAGAGTAAAGATAATGGTAGGAATACAGTTCGAACCCACGCCAGGAAGTTTACTGGAAACTCAAATCTGTTGACTTAAACTACTCGTCTATCATACCAGTGAGTTTCGAGGAGCGCCCTTGTTGTCCCAGATGATTCGCGGATAGATTAATGGTTTGCATGTCCCATATTCCGTCACATTTCTCCAAAATGGATCTGTATAGCTGCTCAGCAGCCAAAAAACTAATGGTAGCAGTGGGGTTCGAACCCACGCGCCATAACGGCAACAGGAAGTTTATATACAAACTTAAATCTGTCGACTTAAACCACTCGTCCATGCTACCGATAAAATATGCGAGATCTCCCTCATGGTCCCATCGACTTCGCAATAGATTAATCGATTTGTCTTCAGTCTCACTCTACATTCCTCCTCAATCAAGCAGTAGAGATAAAATGACTACCGCCAGTGCTGTATTCAGGGGTATCACTGCTCTTGTTCGTACAAAATGCAGCAAGGCGGAATTTATGACCAGTTTTTGGACGACATACAGACAGAGATGGACTGGTAGAGTCATAAAGAATTGCTCTTGTAGTTTCGAGCAAATATATGGTAGGAGTGGGGTTCAAGTTCAAATCCACGCGCCATAACCGCTGCAGCAAGTTCATTACGAACTTAATCTGTCGACTCGAACCACTCGTCCATTTTACCGGGGATTTGCGTTGAGGCGCCGCTCCCCCTGGTTCACGGTCACGGTTGAAATGATGCCGCATGTCCTATTGGTATACTGCATCTGTAGTCTGTCCTCTATCGAGCATCGTATGTTAGAAAGGATCACTCTTGCTGTTTCGAGCAAAGAAGATGGTAGCAGTGGGGTTCGAACCCACGCGCCATAACGGCAACAGGAAGTTTACTCGAAACTTAAATCTGTCGACTTAAACCACTCGTCCATGCTACCTGGTTTACGTGGCTTCACCATCCACCACCCGGCGAATGCAGTCGTTCAACATACCTCCAACTTCTCCGGCTCTATGGAAATCCAAAGGTTGCACATTTGAATCTTCTTTCATTCCTCTTCCACGATAGGATTGCTGGTGAAGTCGATGTCAAGGCACAAGTAAGTCTTGCAAGTATGTTATAGATCTTAGAATAGCAGGTTGGGGATGAGTAAACCACAATAGACAGCGCTGAGCGAGAACTGACTATCATGAACCCCTTTCTTTCCAAGTCGTTCAATATCCTGATTGTTTATGACGGTAGGCACAACAAGCTTCGAAGGTCAAGTCGATAAGTGGCAAACTCCGTCTTTCTGGTCGCACAACTCGGAGGTCGTCGTCCATAAGTATTTCTTTTCTCGTCATATCCTCGGTGAGTTACACGCCTTATAAACCCACCGTTATCATGGCCTCCCACTACACTACCATTCTTTACCAGTTCAACTCTTCCCCAGAGTCGGAACCAGCACAGACAGATCCTCCAAATCCGCCACACCGAGCCTAATCTTGTATACAATCTACAAATGTGGAAATTTTCCTGGTTATCAGGGTACATCGAAATTCTTCTTTGGTTGATAGAACCAAGAAACTCTGGGCAAATCTGCACAATTTCTTCAGGGACTCAGAGGCTTATTATCCGTTGTTATCTTGTTGTTATCTCGGCTGCTTATGGTAAGTTTGTAGCCAGCCCTGTAGAGGAGATAACGGCAACTCTTGGTGACAATTTCCTATACACCTTATTAGCCCTTTTAATCGATCGAAGATTTAGCGAAGTTTAAAGCCAATTTACGAATAGCATGCACAATTTTCTAACGGACCGCTCTCAACAGAATGGCGTCATAATACAGTGGTTTATGGGGCCGAGACGAGCTTACTCGTACTGTGGTTGGCTCCACGTGTAGCTCCGATCCCGCGGAAGATCTACTAGTGTAAGAGGAGTCGGGAGTAGAAAGCAGAACTGAAATCTTCTATCGTGATCCACGCGATCTCCTCGAAGATAGGGGTGCCCGAATAATAGCATTTCCTTGTTTCGAATTTCCTCCAGGCACTGGCACTATGTTAGCGCTCTCGTCTCTGGAATAGCAAGTCCTTGAGCTATAATGAGCTCATGCTTCCGGTATTGCTTTTGCTCCGATCTGTTGAACATGACTGCGAGTCGTATTTCAATAATTACTGCACTCGACTCGGACAGGACTCTCTTGCCAATAATATCTGCCACCTATAACTACGCTTCCCGGCAAAGCAGACTCGAATCACTGAATTTGATAGTCGGTTCTGCTTAGAATGACGAAGTCATGTCCCCATCCAGTAGAATGACTCTCCTTTGTCTATCGTGCCTTCTTATTGCTCAAGTCGGCTGCTACCTTCCCTACTCTCTACTTCTCTTGATGATCGGAATCCGGTTCAGAAGACACAAAGAGGGAAGGGAGATGCAATATAGAATGGAATGTTAATTTCGACTATTAGCGGTGTCCCCTTGAGAAGTGTTTATGAACGGATGCGGGTGAATGATCCGTAAGAAGACTGCGGATGTTTCTTCGGAAATTTACATGGCATGGTATTAGCATGGCATGGGATTATTTCCTAATGCTCCTAGGATGGTGTGATCCGTTATGGTTTCTTCTAAGCTTCCACGGATGAGAATAATATTCTCCAATCGCGATTATCAGAGATTCCGGGGAATTGACACAAACTAGTCTTCTGCTGTGCAGCATGTAATCAACGAGGAAGAGAAGCTCCCGAATAATAATCAACTCTGCGAACCGAGGAAGTCCATGATTTAAATAAAACCCTGGCAAAGACATAATCATACAGTATACAGCCCTCAAGCAAAACACATGAATAGAGTTATGTCTACCTCATGCTTACACGTACGTTGCCCTTCCAGTATACCAAACCACCCCATTAGGATCCGTAATCGCCCTCGCATGTTTCATAAGTAACTTCTCGCGTTCTTGTTTATTCAGCGCCACACCTCCTAAGAATGGCGCAATGTCATCCGCACGCCATTTAGGACGTGTCAAGAAGAGATCGGCGAAGAGAAGGTGGGTGGAAGTAGAGAGTGTGGAAACTGGGAAATAGACTATATGGGTAGAGGGGATGGGCGGCGCTGGGAAAAGGAGGTAATAACCCTGCACGGAGAAAAGATTAGAGAGGTGAGTTCCAGGGTAAGATAAGGGTACTAACATCAAGGGATCGTAAATCCACGGAATAGGAGAAGGCATCCCCTACAGCCCTTTTCCACCCATCAAGGAATTCTTGGATTTTCACGGGATCGTTCTATAATAACATGAAATGAATAAAGAATGTGATTTTCAAATCAAGATTCAAATACGTTATGCAAAGTGAGCCTGCCGAGCCCGATTTGCCGGACAGCAGATTCTACGTCCATTTCCCATTCTTCTTCTTTGATTTCACCAAACCAGGATAAGATTTGCTCTGTGACCTTTCGAGGTATTTCATGTTCAAGGTCAAGATGAGATAGGAGAGTGTTTTTTGGTATAGTTTGAGGAGGGAGAGGAAGACTTTGCGAGATGAGGGAATTGAGGAGTGTTTCGAGGATGTGAGTTAGATAAGAGGTAGTTATGGGACGCAGATGGCCTGAAATGAAAAATTATTATTATTGCTCTGTCCAAGGAGTACAAAGGTGAAACATACCATCAATTTCCAGAATACGTAGATCTTTGAATGCCTGAGCAAGTTCACCATCACTTGCTTGTATCTCAGCTCTCGCATCCTCTTTAGTAAATTTCGCGCGTTTTCTCTGTAAAACCAGATCGTCAATTCAAGTCCTGCATAAGCAGGGCAAATAATTCACATACCGCCACCAGCTCTTCATCTCCATCCATGTCTTCATCACTTCCGTTTTCATCTCTTTCATGTCCCTCATCATACTCACATCCCTTCAACATCGCCTCCAACCTCTGCAGCCTGGGCACAACAGGCACCAATTCCAACAAATGAGATATCTGGTCTCGCACGACCAGCTGTTCATTTGGAGATTTTCCATTATTTCCAGGATCATCTTGTTCCGGCGACGTCGCGACGATTATGGTATTCGATATGGTTACAGCGCGGATGTTGTAGGTTTTGGAAGAGGTACAGAGGACGGCGTCGTCATTTGGACGGCCGCGGATGGTGAGTCTAAGTAGATTAACGCGTTATATATGTGCTCAGACAAACGATTTATAGAAGACATACTGGGTTTCGAGCCCGCTTTCAATAACCTTGCACAACTCCTGTGGCAGCTCCAAAAGCTTATACTTCCCCTCGGAAGAGCTATCCGTTGCAAACCTCAGCTCAAACTCCTTCGAACTCATATCGAATACGTGTCAAATCGGGTCTCGGTTAGGGATTTCAGTGAAAAGTCGCGTCCAACGCCAAGAGTTCAGAGCAAACGCGCGTCGTCAAATGAGGGTTGAAATACCCGTGGGAACGTGACAACGCGCTCGTGTCACATCATTTCCATTTCCGTTTGTGTCCGTCGTTTGTCCGTTGACTCCCACTCTGAAAATAACACATACACACGTACACACATGCCGCCGCCCCGCTTTGGTTTCGTTCTTCCCGCCATCACATAAACGTCCTATGACCTCCCTCCGAGAACCCCCAGGAACCCCTGCTCTAAGTTTTTAAATACGTCCTCAAATAACGCTGGGTGCGCCGATTCTTGTCCGATTCTATAACATACTGACGGGATTATCGATTATCGATGATGACTAGTGCCTTGTCATGATTTTAAAACCAATACACGCAAGAAACGAAGAAACAAAAACCTTCTAGAGATGGAAATATCTTTACGCGGGTCTCGGTTGACGCTGACAGTGAGTTGAGTCAATGCCACTGTCTGCCTGCCTCGTTCGATCACTGGTTGTTCTCAATCGGGAGGCGAAGAGGTGTTCTTCGCAGGCCTTTGCTTCTCCGTAGGACCGTCAAGGATTCCGCGAGAAAACACCACGTGGGCAAGTCATGGGTTGGCAGATTCTGGGATACCTTGACAACTAACTGCATAGCGTCCTCGACTGTAGTAGGTGCCGCCAATGAGGTGGTGCTTGTGATTAAGGTGTAGTGGTCCGAGTGTACTTTTATTGTCGGCCTACGAGCGGTATTCGGATCTGACTTCAATGTTTGGCAGGTTGCTGCTGATACTGGCACTTCAAGTGGTTACGAACAGTCCGTCAATATCAATACCGGTGGTAGGTGTAAGAAAGAATCCTTTCAAGTATTGACATTCCTCCCAGGAGTTGTATTTTCTGGATCTCTTTAAGGGGGTCAGGCCTAGACCATTCCTGAAGATCTCAAGCACACACAAGGTAGGCAGAACCTGCGAACTTGGTCTTCTTCAGCGTCT